TAATTTACAAACATTTATATTTCAGTGTTAGGAAATATGGTGAGATTAGGAAAACAGTGAAGACAATGATTTGTACACAACTAGTTCAGGCAATGACATTCTCACAGATTACAGTTTAACATGATTAAACAGCACATATAACATACATGTATGACAGACATTGTTTGTTTTTTGATATTGACATACCATCAGTTATACACATAAGAAATATTGCCAGTTACAGTTTGGTTATGAAATAGGTACTCTTTTTGATAAGACATTTCAAATTACAATATATCTCAGGCAGCATGCAGGAAAAGTCATTTATTGTATCTTTGTTAGGACATACTTTGCACCGAGCTTCCAATTTTTTGGTAGTTAGAACAAGAATATAGAAACCACAGAAATGATGGTATGGTTGAAATCAGCAGTTGTATTTACTGGCTGAGAGAATTTCTGTTAAAAATAAAATTTTCTGAATTTGTTAACAAAATGCACAGTGATCATAAACTTAAAAAGTATTTTTTTCACAATTAATTCTTGTTTATTGGTGATACAGCAGCTGTAGGGAATCTCAATTCTGAGAGCTGGGTTTTACATAACAGCAGGAAATTATTCTTCTGTGGACTCAAGTGACCACAATAGAGATGTTTACCATTTGAAATCACATATTATAACAAGGTGCTGTACAAAGATCACAAATATTTGGTGTTTCCATCTTAACGAATATGCCGTGGTTATTCCACAAAGAGACTAGATTAACAGGCAGTGTAAGTCACATGAATCTTAAGAGTTTAAAAATACATTTTATACAATAGGCTTCTTATTTCTTCACTAGCATTTCATTTTGATTTTTTTATCTTTATACTTAAAGTCCTTAGAGAAACTAAGAGCTTCTGGCTCATGCCAAGAAAGTCAATAGGGCTGATATTTCCCACAGGAATATGGCTGAGTGTACATTGAATCACAGTCAATAACGCAACATCTAATATAACAGATTATTTCAAAATTCAAATCAACTCTAATTGTTTTAAAAGACAGAATTTTGAACAAAAGTGTAGTCATCAAAATTTTATTTACAAAACATTTAGATATATAGTTTGATGGCTAGTTCTTGCTAACTGCACAGATTAAATTGGCTTCCACAGTCTATTAGCTTTCTGTGCAACATTGGTAGACCTCTGAGTCAATGAGTATGGAGTGCTTAGGTGAGAAAATTAGACAGTAATTTCTATCCACTCAGTGCTCTTGAAGAGAATTTTTAATGCTTTCTCTATGAGACAAGAGCTGTCATTAATGTTGGTGTATTTAAGGTCTCCAAATGCAACCTAATGTGATGTAAGAATTTGAGTCAAAGACTGATAAAAGTACCACTGAATTTTCAGATTCAAATATAGCTTTTCTTTTACTAAGACCTCTGTGTATTACATCGGCTTTAAGTATTTCCTGTAATCATTAGAAACACAAAAAAGGTTCATTTTCAAAAGATAGATGGAGTGAGCATTTCTTACAGTCACATTCACAATACAAGAAATTAATCAACATTTTACAGATCATTAAACAACTTTCTTTGGCAGATGACTATAATAACTTCTTCTACTTTTAACACTTCAATGAGGCCATTTTGTTTTCTGATCATGTCAGGTGTATGGTCACTATTTCAGGATAATAGTATAACACCACAGATACAAAAATATTTAATGAGCACAAATTGACAGTTAAATTCAGATAGCACTAATCCATTAATACTGGAGAAGGTATTTTACACAAGCATTTCTGATTATCATAATTTTAACACAGCAATCATGGGCATGTTGACTTTCCTCGACCCCCAAATTTTGTCTCTAAAACACTGACAGAATAGACTGGAAAGTTTCTGATTGTTAAACATTTTGTTTCCACAGGAAATTATTAACATAGGACATGTGCACTGAAAATGGCAGTTTTTCTAGACTTTATTTGTTGGTCTGAGAGATTCAAAACTGAAAGATTCAGTTAAGCTTCCATCGCTATTATATCACTGGCAAAACACCAGTCAGAGGATTCCCAGTGCGATGAAGTTACTGAAAATACAGTCTTAGACATGCACAGTCTCCAGGTTGAGCTGGAGGGATGTGAGGATCTTACACTCACTCATCCTGAGGTTGCCTTTAATTCTCTTTCCCACCTCCTGCTCTTTGTTTTTGAAGATTATTTGTGATGGATCCCTTATATTGAGTACCACATCTGTGCTGCTGTTCTTAACTCACTAGCCTTTGGGAGTGGGGGTATTGTTCGAGGTGCTCATCTCTTCCAAAGAAGCTTTCAGGCATGAAGTCATGCCATCCTTTTCTCAGGATAAATTCAGTTTATCCTTAAATCATCCACCAACTTCGTTCAGTGGGGACGAATTGCCAAGAATAGCCACTAGAGGTATGAGACAATTGCAGATTCATTTCCAACTGGAAATCCCCTCTTGCCTATCCCAAGGAATGCTGCCAGTGGCAGAGCAGTGTTTTGTGCATATATACATCAACTATTTTCTTTTCTGGCCCCTGTTTAGAGAGCCATGAGTGTCCCTTGGTGTGAGCTCGGTACTCTACCAAACTCCCAAACGAACCCCGGGAAGTCTGGTTACAATAACAGTCATGTCGTCGGTGGTTATTATGGCTTTTGGGAAAGACACTCGTGTGGTACCACTAACCTGTGACTATCACCGGGAATGGAAGGTATGGTCAGGCAAATCTGCTTATGGTTTTAAAACAATCATCTGCTACCTTCTCGTGTCCCGAATCTTTTTGATGTTCTCCGCAATAAGGATCTTTTATTATTCAACTGTTTTCCAGCACTTTTGCAATTCAAATTCAGGTTTGTTCCAAGGCTCCCGATTGGATATAATTACACAATGTACACCAGATTGTGGACGGAGGAGAGGATCATGGCAGTTTCACCTTGTAAGCTTCCATCATGAAGGCTTCCAAGGTGACTTTCAAAGGTCAGAAAGGATATCAAGGCTTTCGATTTTAGTGACAGATTTGAGCCAATTGCACTGATTCTGGCTGAGGTCACGTGCTGCAAATTTGTGTGTGTTTGTGTGTGTGTGTGTGTGTGTGTGTGTGTGTGTATGTATGTATGTATGTATGTATGTATCCTATCACTGCAATGGCCTTTGTGGTGATGTGACTTCTCAGAGAGGCTTTGATTGTGAGTGAAAGAATGTGTAAGTGGAAATGTGGGGCATGATGACTGAGACCAAATGGGTTGTGCTTGAATTTGGGCTATAAGTAGCCAATGTGTTTGAGAGGAAAATGACAGGACAAGAGGAAAGGTGTCTATGGGGAAGCACACACACACACATACACACACACACACACACACACACACACACACACACACACACACGCCAAGCAAAGGAACAGTCAGCGCTCAAGCTTTAAACAACAACAGCAGACAAACATGTGAATATTTTAAGTACTCAAAAGTTTCAGGTTAGATTTCAGAGGAGAGATGGACACATGTCCACACATGCTCACATACCTCTCTATCTTACCTTATCTTTCTAAGACATTCTTATCTGCTAAGTGACCTCAATATTCAGCCCTCCAGTGCCAGCAAGAGAGCCTTGAATGTTGATCCCAAGGGACCTAGAGTGATGTCTATGCCCTCTGTTGTGTCTTTTGTTTCCAAACTTTTTGAGCCCTGTTGTTTGTTTTGAACCAGCTTCCTAAACTCTAACCAGTAGCCATTTTATCTCAGTACATTCCCACCCCTGAAACCAGAAGACATTCACTCAGCAGGACTCAGGGCTAGTTTACCATTAAGGATAACACCAGTCAACTGGGCAGTGGTGGCTCACGCTTTTAATCTCAGCAGAGGCAGACGGGATCTCTGTGAGTTTAAGGCCAGCCTGGTCTACAGCTTGAGATTCAGTACAGCCATACACAGAGAAATCCTGTCTTGAAAAAACAAAAACAAAAATAACAAAACAAAACAAAAAGGATAATACCAGAGCTAGTTAACCCTGAGAGGTTTCCTAGGTTGTTTTCTAGACCATGGGGTGGTAGGGTAAAAATATGCATAGCTATATTTGTTAAAAAAGACTCAGGGAAGAAATACTTCCTCAAGTCCCATTACATGGGAGAAAAGTCATTGTGAGATTAGTTTTCCTAGAAATTGAATCATAACTCTGAATTATGGACTTTTAAACTGGAATGTCCAAGTCTATTGTACTGAGAGGCAGGTTGCCATTTAAGCCTCTAAGCTTCTTTCTGGGGAAGCAGAGTTAAACAGGGGGTGACACTGATCATTCTTGGCCATGCAATGCACTGTGTGGATCGATGGTTTTGAACTGCAGCGTGCATTAAAGCAATCCAATGAGCTTGTTAAAACCCACAGTGTGGAGCCTAGCCTGGCATTTCTGATTTATAGAGGGCTGGGGTCTCAAGTGGGAGCAGCTGATTTGCATATTTCACAGGTTTCCTAGTCATTGCTGATGTTGCTTGGCTGCAGACCAAACTCTTAAGAATCACTGTAATTGCTTATTCTAAACACACTATATATAGTTACCCATGTCACCCTAATTGCATTCTTACATCAAAGCTTTCCCATGTGGGATGGGAAGATCAATATTGAATTCTCTCTCCAGAACCTCATCAAGTAATAAGGGCTAGATTCCATGGCTGTCGGTTTCATTATAGAAGGTCTTTAGGTTTAGAAAGTTAAGCATACATCAGCATATACAATAAACATGTCCACAAAATATAATTCCAACCCATGTTCTATGCTATTAAGTGTGATACCCTGAAAGTCCATTTCTAGAAAATTCTACACTCTTTCTTCACATTATTTTAATAATAACATTACAATTCTCTTCTGCCACTTAGGTGATAGTCACCTTATCACTTCAGGGTAATTAACACAGTGACTAAAATTTGTTCACAGTTTCTTGGCTAAGCACAAATGAGTTGTTGATGTTTTCTTAGTAAAACCTGTGTGAAAGTTTGTTAATCCCAAGAGCTGAAAAAGAATGAACAGAGGAAATGTTGCAAGGGACATTCTGGGGCTTTCGGGTGAGCAAGAGTTAAGGTGGACAACTGTCTTGTCAGCAGGCATAATTAGAGATGCCATTTGCTGGGCTAGAAGACCTGGGTCAGCTTAAGAGGTGTGGCTCTGGCAAGGGAGTTGAGGAAGATTGACAGGGATTTCTGTGAATGGAAGGGAGGCTGAGCTTGTTCGGGTACTCCTCCTCAAGCAAAGACCTGCCTTTGATTGACAGCACAACTAGGATCGCTTAAGGCAATCATCAGCAGAAACTGCCAATGGGGTATATTTATTTTTAAAAAAGATGAAATCCTATTTTTTCAGTTTATAATTTCCTAATCAAATCTGAAATAGAGGTCAAATTTGACAGGAGAGAATTGTTGCAATTTAAAAATGTGATGCATTTACTGCAACTGAATGGCAGCTCTCGATGGAAACATCACGAGAAAAGGAAGAGTATTTTTATCCTCAAGCAGCAGTCACAGAAGTTATTATGGCTGTAACAAAAATATTACACATTTAAATTTCTTCTCCCTACACTATCTGTTGCAATGGTGTCAGTCATGTCTGGTTACCCCTTTCTACCTCACAAATTTGGCATCGTGGCTCAGGGCTAATAAAGCTGGAATGCTTTGCTCCCCCTAATGTTGGAACAGTTTACTCATTTCTTGAGACATTCCAATTGGGATTCCTTCAAGAGAAAGCTTACATTCACTCCACGGAAATATTCTTTGTTTACATAAGCAGAGTCCTGATATTTTTTTCTTTCTTTCCTTGAGAAAATGTCTACATAGCTTTTATGTGTTTTGTGTGCAATCCAGGTAATTGCTGTGGTTACGATTTAAAAAGTCTTTCTGTGAAATCATTTGTAGTAGTCATTTCTCCATAACAAAGAGGGTATTTAAAAGACAATTAAATCTGTAGCAAATGATATTATTTTTTTTAATTTTCCTCCACAATACTTGTACCTTTAAATAAACTTGGAAGGGGGGTGTTTGCTGGTCACTGCACAGTCTGTTTATAATTTCATATAGTTTAGTGTAAAACAGTACTGACAATCTCTTTCTCCTATCTCTTGCAAAGCATAAGGAATGCAAAACAAAAGGGGAATTTCTGGGAGACACTGTGAGAACTTAAAGGCTAGCCTTAGAAGAAGAATGGATTTGGTGTTAAGAAGATCACTAAATTGAAATCCATTCCAACCTCTCAGATGCTTCTTCAAATGGAGGACACTTCCCACTCCCTCTCTTCAGGGAATTTACCCCCCACACACACACACATACACACTGTAGCATTGTTAAGTTCTCCCAGGTGGATGTGATTCCATTAGTTTGCTACTTTTTCTGATAATCCGATACAAGGAGGAGCAATTGGTTGGCAAGCTAAAACATCTTTAGCCTATACCTACAAGAAGGAAATGGGAAGCTACTGACCACGGGGAGGGAGGTGAGGTTGATGTGTTCTGGAAAATGACCTCTCATGTAGCAATGAGAAGATTGAAATCCAGAGAGATCTGAAGAATCATAGCTCTCTGATGATGACCAGAACACTGTGTATTGAGAGTGAAGCTGAGGTCCCCTTCTCTAGATGCTGTGAGTTGATGAGGAGTGGAGTTTTAGCTTGGAGAGGAGTCATTTGCCACCAAGTCAAAAACATTCAATGTTCATAAGTTCATAGTTAGTAGAAAGAACTTCAGTAATGGCAATACAAATGATGCCGATAACATGCTTTCTACAACTTGAAATGCTAACTACCAGACCAGTCTCACATCGTGATTGGCTCAGAGAAGACTGTGGAATGTGCTAGTTGAGGTGAACACATTCATCTTGATGGTGAAAGACAGAATGTGCAATTAAGAAAATCACTATTTCTATTTTTATTAAAGGCAAGTTCTTTGATTAGTTTCAGAATGACCTCTTTAAATAGTATCACATTCATAAAATATCCTTATACCAAAATGGAAGGTTAATTTAATTAGAGGACTGTAATTGGAATTAGACTAAACCCAGGGTCAGTGTTAATTGTCTTAGATCTTCCTTGCCTTTAATCCTTCATGTTATCTTATGATACTTAATATTTTACCAAAACAAATGCTTGCAGTTCATGAGATTGTGTTAAAAACATAAACTCGGATTTTGAAGCTGCTCCACAGGCTAGATTGAATTATTATTATTTTTCCAAGTTTGAACTGAGTAGAAAGTCAGTGAGTGATCATGGAGGGAGGTTTTGTTTAACTTTCTGGCTTAACTTGTATCCCCTGCCCCAGGCGATCTGTGACCACCCATGTGATATTTATCTGGCTCCATGGCTCCACCCAATTTTGCAATAGGTGTTTAGGAAGCAGGTATTAATTCAGAGACAGTCAAAATGCCATGTGCTTTTGTTCAAAGTTTTTGGTTTGACCAGTGAAGTTACTGAGCTTCCCCAACCTTCTACATTATCACTGTGAAATAGTTGCTCTCTTTCCCTGGGAGGATTTAAAAAGACAGTAAGTGGAGACCAATGCTCTATCTTCATCCTCTTATAGACTGATTATGGAGAACATTTCACTGGGAACAGGGCAAATACAAATGGACTAAGAAGGGCAACATATCAAGACAGCTCAACAAAAACTCCATGCTCATCTATAACAACAGGTTGTGTAGAACCTTCTCTCCTGTTTTTGTTTCAAAAAACTATTTAATATTCTGTCACTCCTTTAAAGAGACCAAAAATAATTCTTATTTTTCTTTCTTTTCCTTCCTTCCTTTCTTTCTTTGTCTTTTTTAAATAAAAAATTCTAAATTTGAGGTATAGACAGAATACTACTGGCCATGAAGCTGATGCTGATAAGTGGCAGCTCTGAAGCAGTGTAAAATGAACCCTAAAGAGTAATAAAGCAATATTTCTTTTCATTTTACCAATGACATAACTACTAGAGTTGGAGTGCCAAAGTTCATAATAAGATACCGATGACAGCAGCAACTCCTTTCTTTGAGTTTTAGACAGAAACTTCAAAGACAAACATTTTTTTGAGGACTTAATGATAACAATTGTAGATGAACTCCAAAGACTTTGCACATGTTCAACACCATGTCTTGCCCTGAAAGGACCCCTTGGAGAAGTCTCATTGGCAACTGGTTGACCTGGCTAGTAAGATTTTGGAGGGAAATGCCAGAGAGAAGACAATCAACAGACATGAAAGTTGTGTGTGTGTGTGGGTGGCCCTGTTTTGAATATCTAACCTTAACCAGAGCAAGTGAAAGATCCACAGGCTGGGTGATAAAATATCAGTGGACAGGTAGGGTGAGACCCCTCTTCTGTATCTCCCAACATGCCAAAATACATAACTAGAAAATGCTAACTGATGCATGGATGCTTGACTGTTTATAGTGCCATCTCTCAATGGAAAATCCTATCCTATTAACATCCAGAATTTGACCTTGACCAGAATTTTTTTTCAAGAGCTGTTTTTGACACTCATTCTCAAAGGCAGAAGGATGCAAATCAATCCTAAAGGTTTCCTACCTGAAAATACTTGCTAAATAAAAGGGGGAAAACAAATTTCTTATTTAAAAAAGATTTTTACATCTTTTTTGGGAAAGATACTTGTTGTTCTAAACAGTTCTCAAACAACTTTGAATGTACATCTTTAATTTAAGAATAAAATTCCTTCTTTGCACTTTGTTCCATTTATGAAAGAGATATGACATAAAAGAAACTAGTTTGACATGAATTTGAGAGTGGTCCTAGATATGTAGAATGTGGTTCAGGTTATTCAACATGTGAAACTTATGTTTGTTTTTAATATACATACTTTTATGGTGTGGGAGAAATAGAATAAAGGAGAGCCAGTGTTGAAACAATGTACAATTTCAAGAAAAATTATCGTGCAACTAGTAATCCAAATCTTCTAAACCTGGCTTTGTACCAGTTAAAATGCAAACTTTTGGTAGAAAAAAGACTAAATGCTACATTCACATTTAGCATTTAGAATGCTGGTTCATCAGAAACATTTAACTGATGGTAGATCTGTCTGGACCATGTGGTTATGGGGGCTAGACTCAAGCCCAATATCCCGTCCCATGTATTGATTCAACATTATAATTAGTGCTGAAATGTTAGTAACAATATCAAAATGGAGTTATCATTTAAAAGGGAGGAGGTATTAAGTTACCAAGTTGAGTAATTTAAAAGCACTATACATTTAAAAATGGAAGGAAATTATTGAAAATATTTTTATGATTCATCTGCTCTAATGTATTCCATAAAATAATTCAATGACATGAAAAGTATGCCAAAAGAATACTTTTCTTTAGTTTTTCAAGCCAAAAACTATATATGCACAGCTTTGATTTTCCTGTCAAATGTGAGAATGATTTTAAATTATACAGTTGTCTCAGGAAACTCGGAATCATTCTTACTTAAAGGTAATGACTTTCAAATATCTTAAATAATAAAACCCTACTTAACACATATTCTTTGTGCCAAACTATTTCATTTAAAAATATAATCTTGTAAACAGTGTAGATAATTCTCACCCATATCATTATCTAAACCATATAAGTTAATTCTATGAGCATCATTGTAATGCAGTATAAAAATCTTTCAAGAGTTTTATTTGAGATAATTTTCAAGTCTAATGTTTGCTAAAATGAATTTAGCAATGTAGGGTAAGATTCAGAAAGAGTATATCATCTTTTTCCCAAAAGCAGCCATTATGATCATGATTCCTATCATGGAGATACTATTTAGTTTATTTCTTTGGTGAAATACTTGGTGAAGTAGTTACATATTTGGTTTAATTTCAAATATTTAGTACCTAGGGGTAGTTACCTCATTTGGAATTAACTCTCAGGGTTATGATCTCCACAATAGAGGTGGAACATTGCAAGTCAAAGATTTGCAGAACTGATCTCCTCTATTGTATATTTGCAAGGGAATCTAAGAAACAGTTCTGTAGATTATAAGCTCACTAGCAAGGAGTTCTGGTAGAGAGGGTTATATAGTCATCTTAAACATCAGTTTCCCCCCCCCAGCACATTTTTAGATTTGGCAGATTATACATGTCTTTATAGCACACAAATTATTAAGCTTTGTGAAATAACTATTTAAACAGATCTAGTAATTCTGAAGTTTGGTAATTTCTTTCTTGTTCTATTTGGTCATTTATGTGAATTTTCCTATTCATTGCATAACCAAAACACAGTAATCAGTGAAGCAATCAAGTCACTCATATTTCACAGAGTCATATGTATTTTTCTGTGTTTATATATTATACCTTTAGAGAAACTCTTCTTTGGTTTGGGGACATATGTCTTGCTGTTCTTTCCCACTCTGTACTTACAGATATTGTTAGAACGGGCTGGGAGATGAACACTGGACATGATAAATATGACCCCCAAAAGACAGGAATAAATTATCACTAATTTCTAGGGTACCACATACTTCAAGGATTTATAGAGATAATACACTTTGTTCTAAAATCTGTTGTCTTTGTGAAAAATCATCATAATTGATTTTTCTATGACAAGTTTACTTTCAGAAGAAAAATCCCTGAGATCCTTCTAGATTGAACCTTCTCCTATGGGTGAGTAGTAGCAGCAGCCATCATGAAGTTTGTTGAATGTACTAAGAGTGGATGGAAGACTAACAAAGTTGGGCATTATGGAAAGGGAAGGTTACACTATGAGGTGTTGTTCTTTGCTAAATGTAAGTGTATAAAAAATAAGTAATCATATGTAAATGTCTCTTGAGACAATGAGGTCATAGAACCCTTGACAAAACTGAAAATTTGGAGATTCTCCGAGCGCATCTGTTTGGACATCTTGGCGGGCTGAGGCAAAGTCACAGCAGGCTGGAGACTTACCATTTCCTGTGGACTGAACAGCAAAAGTACTCTTTGCCTCTCTTAGGGATTCTGCCTCTCAGTGGTTGGCCTTTATGTGGGAAGGACATTCTCTGCCTTGGGAGATTGTTCTGCATGGCCTGGTTAAGTACTAAAAGTGAAATGACTAACTATTTCAGTTGTATTTCTTTTCTGCAGTGTCCTTGGCAATGCAGAACTACCCAACAGGACTACCCAACCTCTGAAACATGCTGGCATGTGTGAAAACAATGGATATGGCAATAATAGTGTTTGAAAAGGATACTAAAATCCCCAATCCATTACTAAAGACATAAAATATGTAGGGAGACATGAACACAAGTAAATGGATCTATTCACACAAACACATGTCCGCAGTACGATAAATGTGGTTCTTGTATGCCTCTTCTCTGTGACACACTACTTACTTACCCACTGATAGCCACACTTTCTAGTTTTTGCCAGTGGTTAGAATGACTTGCACAAGGGGCATGATTATTATAAAAGATGCTAGATTATAGCTGTTAAGTTAGGATGTACATTGTCAAATGTTCCTAAACTTATGAAGGTACAACCATGACTTGCTCTGGGTGTAGTTTCCCAAGATCAGAAATGGAAAATCAAAATCAAGAGGTGGATTCCACATTTTCAACTCAAAACAAAACAAAACAACCCCCACCCAAAACTAATAGAAGTCTTAACGAAGCTGCGTTGATTTAGAAAAAAAAGAGGAGGGTTCTAATTTCTTCTGTCAGATGTGAGAGCAAACTAGCCACTCTCACTTGATTTTGATAGATTAATCCCAGGAATGTGGGAGCATAGAGTTTCTAACAAAGGAAGCCTGGTGTGGAAAGGACAATGGACACAATGCGTTTCTATTTGTTTTGAGATGATTTCTTAGGGAGGGGTTGCTCATTAGATGTGAGCTACTTGTCCATCTTGCATCTTGTTTCTGACAGCATCTTTGTACTATAATCTTATGTTTGAGAAGAAACAGCAACAAAAACAGTACTCTTATACTTTAGGAAGCAAGGTTCTCTGAAATCTTCATGGTTGGAAGCACTGAATAAGAACCAGCTAACAAACGAATGTTTGCTCGTAAGCACTCAAGAGTCAATCAGCCAAAGAATGTTGCTGAAGTCTATTAAGTGGTCAAGGATCCCCACTATAGCTTTCTACTCAGGAAGTAAACAATGACTGCCAATTTCATATTCAGGAGTCATATTGATTCTTTGATTCAAGAAGAGTATTTAAATTGTACCTTATCTTCATCTACCTTGAAAATGTGCCACACATGCCCACACATGATGCTGTGACGAAAGGCTCTGTGGGAAACTTTAAGATGATCAGATGACCAGAGTATCATTTACACATACCTAGTGTCGAGTTTCTACCACAGTAAGAATTTCTTTTCCCACAGTTCTCATTTATGTCTGGTGTCACCGCTTCTGTGCTCTTTTGATGGTATGAGATAGGAAAGCAGTAACGTATATAATTCAAAGAGTCAGAAATTAATAAAATAAAGCATAAGCTGTGCTGGGCGCAAGAAGACATACAAGACACGATACTAAGTGAACAATTTGCTTCCAATAACCAGTGTAAAGGGCTACATGATTTAGTGTAATGAGCTGTGTGCTGAAAGATTCCTGACAAGTTATAGTTTATGAGGCCATGTTCTTGGATGCAGAAAGCAAGAAGATAGAGTTCAACTAAAAGGTGAGAAAGTGGTGAGAACAATGCACACCCAATGTTTACCACAGCATCACAGGATGGACAGGCATTCTGACTCCTTGTGCTGCTCTTTGGGACATTTAAACTAGAACATTGCATGACCAAGGATGAGGATACCAATTGCACAATGATACCTTTTTGGTTTTTATTTCTTCAAAACATGAAAACAAACAATTGGGAGAATGGAGTAGATGATAATGAGAGGAGCCATTCCACAGGACAGAATAAGCTGTGCCACCGGGATGAAATCACAAACAATTAGAAACTTTATTTTTTTCCTGTGTCAATAATGTATACCAATTTTAAGGAACAGCACTGTTAGTGCCTGTCCCCCTAAAGCCGTGCACAATACACACAAAATAAAATAATCAAACAAATAAAATGAAATCATTTTACACATAATAATTAACAACCCTGAACATCCAGAATCATATTTTCCCTACAGCATAAAGACTGAAAAGGCAAACAAAGCAAAAAGCTTGAACTTGAAACTGACCAACAGCAAGAATTTCTTGGGACATTCTCTGTGAAAATTCACTATAAGATTATCGACATTCCAAAGATGGAATGTATTTTAAAAAAAGTGCAAAATCTTTCTAATGCTTTAACCATGTATATCCTTGGATTGTATTTATTTAGTAGTCCTAGGCTATCTTTTAATTTTAAAATCTAATATAAGTTTAAAAAATTAAAACAAGACAGGTTAGAATGTACCACTGAGGGTCAACAGTGTCACTAATGTTGGTGGGCTGTGGTATGCTTTTATGGAAAGGTACCAGTGCCATATAGATTAAAACCAGGTTAATTGGGTCTTCTCAGTGGTATCAGTCACCACCATGATTATATTACTCTGCTTGGTCTAAAGTAGGAAGATGAACAAACCTGCAAGTTGGCCAAAACTAAAGAGTCCTTTTCCAAAGCTAAACATTATATTCTTTCAAGAAAAAAACATGAACATTTGGTCAACTGCTTTTGTTGTGCAATTTTAATGTGAGTGTGTTTAAAAAGAGTTATAATTATTTTTCTCTTGCAAGATAAAATTATCTCAGTATGGTTAGGTCAATTCTTACTCTTTGAATAGGAGTCTCATCCACAATATACCCCCTGGGGGCAGGAATCTGGGCTATCTTGGTCACTGTTCAGCTACCAGGAAATAGAATATTACCTGGTTTATTGAATGGGTAACAAGTATCTAACCATTCACTCAGTCTCTAAAAGTTTATTAAATAATGGGCAGTTATGATCACTGAGTGGAAGAAGAGGAAGGAGGTCTCAGCAACATTAATGTCTTAAGCATCTTTGAATCAATACAAAGGGCCACGGAGGTCTCAGAGAAGTCTCTGTGAGAGGTGGACAAAGCCATTCCATTTTCCCTCCTTAGTAGAATCACTGCTTTTGGAATGTTGGGTTTCTCTTTGCTCTTTGGTGTTTTGGAATAGAAAGAGCCGTTTCTTTCAAAGGGTTAAAACTCCCCAGTGTCATCTTCCTGGGGGGCCCCAGTACCTTTGACAAATCTCCTCTTTGTGTCAGACACAGTGGACTTCTAAAGGTCTACCAGTCACCCCTGGTTTCTTTTCCACTCAGGAGTTGCTAGTGAATTCAGGGAGTCTGGACTGGAAGGTTAATGAAACAGGGCTCAAACAAGCCTTCTACATAAAAAAATAAAACCAACTAGCACTATCCACCATCTGTGCCAGACAGAGCAGATGTGCAATAAATACTTTGGGGGAGGGGTAGCATGGAAACGGAGGCTCTAAAAGTCCAGGCACATCCAAAGTATCCACGTTTCTCCCCAGCGTTTCTCTTTGGCCTGCCTGAATTAATTGTGGGTGATTCTTGGAGCTCTCTTCTGACATGCTCTACATGGCTACAACTCCATGGAAATCTGTGTAGTTTTCCTGCTGTCCTCTCAATAACTTTAAAATCTCCTCATATGACAATTATTGCTTCTTAGAAATGAACGTGCAGAATCATGAAAACTAAGCCATTTTCTTCTTTTATCCCTATCAATATTCAAACTCAGCAACAACTCAAAACTAACAACTCAGGTGAAAAGCAAAACTCACGTATGTCTTCAATGTCCAATCAACATCGCTGAATGGGAGAACAGTATTTGCTATACTCTACTATATACAGATACGCTTTGTTTTATTTGTTTTTCGTCCATGCACTGTGTAACGGGGATCACAACAACATTCCCAAACAGGCACATGAAGGAGGGCAAATGTTCAGTCATGACTGGAACAGGATTGTGCAAGCCATGGATGCCACTGAAAATAAAACTGATGGGAAAATCCCAGGCAACGGCAACGTGGGACCTGAACACACATGATGACCAAAAGGATGACAGATTTTTTTTGTATGGGTTTAATCTTCCTGCTTGCAGGGGGTTGGGTGGTGGTCAGGAGGAAGTCTGGGATGGGATACCTGGGGAATTAGCTGGGCTGGAAGGAGAATAAGGGTCTTGCTAATCACAGTTCAGAGCTAAAGAGATAAGGGATGAAGAGTTCTGTGTGTTTCTGGGAATCTAGGCACATTATCCCCGTACCTGTTGAACAAGAGTGCCAGGCACCATATCCTTAGACTACATCTAGAACAATTGCTTTTCCTGGCTCCAATGCAGCTCTCATGCTTCTCTTCCTTGAGGCAATTCACCTCTGTTCATATCTCGGAGATAAGCATAAAATTTGGTAATATAGTCAAGACGTGCTTCTTTCTTCTTCCATGCCAGGATCCTTCCTTAATCCAAAGTAATGTTTATAGTGTTTGGAGGAGGTGAGGAGAGAATCATAATGATTTCCAGGTTGATCCCAAATCCATTCCATTCACCTTTGGGTGGATCACCGCTTCCCATAAAGAGAAGTAGGATCCCATGGCTCCAAACAAAACAAAGCAAAATCAAATTCAAGCCAACCGCCACCTCCCTGACCCCACTGGAAACAAACAAAAAAATAAAAGAAGAAAAAACAAATCAAAACCTTAACCATTTATGAACTCGAAAGAGTACAGCCCTTCTAAGTTGAGCTGAACGATGACCCTGCCTCCACGCCTTGTTCAACAAGATGATGCCAGGAAATGGGAGATGGTGGTTTCTGACTTCCGCCCTAGTACAGAGTATGTTCTTGAAGCTGGATTCCATCAGCAGGTTAAGTGAACATGACAAATGTCAGTTTCCTCTGTTCATTATACATAATTCTTTATGTATATATGTATATATATATATAAATTTACTATATCTGATTGTTCCTCTAGAAGCCTTTTATGTGGCAGTAGGCCTCCAGGGAGGAGAAGAAAATGTACAAGAGCCACAGGAGCACGAACAGGGAAGACGTGAGGAGCTTGGCAGTCCGGGGCCCACCCAGCTCACCTCCTATTTCTGGCCTCCGCCGGTACAGCAGCACCCCCACGTTGATGAATGCAAAAATGGTGAAGAGAGTGACAGAGAAAGCTAGTGTGCCAGGGGACACTCTGAACTGTTCCCCATTGGCTGCATGGTAGATGGCAGCAATGGACCAGGCCACACCAATTCCCAGGAAGACATTCACAGCGTTGCTTCCAGTGACGTTGCCTATGGATGCATCTGCGTACTGATCCTGGGTGGCTGCTACTTTGCTGGCAAATGTGTCTGCAGGGAAAGGAGAAAAAAAGAGGCCATGACACATGGAGTTACCCTTACATACACACCCATGGGGTGCCAGGAGCTTTTACTGTGTAGTCTAAACTCAAGACCATAGCAGAGTTCTGTATCTTTGAGTCAGTCTTCTGGTCAAAGGAACACAACATAGATATCAGGAGTCAAGAGCTTGGTGCTACCCATGTTACTAACAGAGAAAGTAATCTAAGTCAATTTCTTTATCGACAGATACCATAGTTCTTTTTCTACTAGGCTTGCATGGAAGCTTTTTCTTTCAAAAGTATTCACAGCGCAAGTTATATCAAAATCCAGCAGGGACCTTCAAAAGTCTGACTATTACAAGCCTCCATCCAGCTGTTCTTGGTCATAATCCCTGGGGCCCAGAAATCTATTTTCACAGAATCCCCAATGATTTCTAGGTCACTATGCGTGGAAAATGGTTGCTGGAGGGTACTACTAAAATGCTGTGTCAGCAGCTATTGCTAACTTGTCAGGAGAGAGTTCCAAAGATTGAGGAGCAAGTCAATACTGCAACTGAAAAGAATCAGACTGTAATCATAGCTGACATTTGCCTAGAGCCCCAAGAATAGGAAAGTAAGTTCACCTGCATGATAGTATTGATTGTGATAATAATAGGCCCAAAGATGATACGCAGCAGGCACCATGTCACACAGCTAAGAGGAAATGATGGTAGATTTGGGGCATCTGCCTTCTGCCTTCAGAACTCACATTTGTGCACTGTAACATCTTACCTATCACCATGCCACAAACATCAGTTGGTATCCTCGAAGCTCTCTATTGGCCAATAGCCTTCACTCTGCCATATTATGAAGACTGGAATGTCATGCCTCACTAGAGGGCAAGTTTTCAGATAGCAATAGCTTATTAGCATATTATTTCTAACCTTCCTTGACAACGAGCTCTGTGACCCTGTGCTTCCATTGTACTTCTGTGGAATGGGACTACTGATATTCACTCAGACTTGCTGTTTTTAAGACTATGGGACAGAATATGGAAAATGCTGTTTATACTTCTTGTCCAGGGTAGGTAGCTTTTTGTTGTTTTATAAAGACAATAAAAATAAAGTGATCTAGATTAGTTCGTAAGTTGGGATGGGTTGAGCTATGGCTCCACCTGTTAGTCATGAAGACATTCCATTTCTGGTCTGTGTGATGCTTAGTTCCTCACAAGACGGTTCTTTCAGGGCTGGTGAGATGGCTAAGTGGGTAAAGGTGCTTTCTGTGTAAGCTTCTTGTTCTGAGTTCAATCCCCGGAACCTATGTAAAACCTAACTCCCCAAAGTTGTCCTCAACTTCCATACCCATGAGATGGCTTGAACACCCTACACACACACACACACACACACACACACACACACACACACACACACACACACACACCACATGCGCATGCTATATATCACATACACATTCATTCACAAATGCAGTATCTCACACTCAGAGCTGTTTTCATTGTTCCTATAAAGTACCATGTACAACATGTTCACAATAGATGTTGATAATGGCTACATTGAATTCACATTTGCAGCTTTAGTGATGGTGAGTGTTGTAGGACTACCAGCTTCTGAGTGCCCTGCATGATTTGGCAGGCAAGTACCCATGTAATCCTTGAATCACTTTCTTCTTTCTGCTCTTATTCTGTCATCAACATCCTTATGAATAAACTTCCATATGAAAAGCGTGTGTGTCCTTCTGTGTCATCCAGTAGATCTGCTGCTTTTTCATGGGGAAGAAGGTTATTTAGGTTGACCAGAAGCCTACTGCTTCTGTACGTCATATTCTTTCTGAAGGGGAGCTGGTCAACCCTGAGGTCCCATATTGCTCATTATGATCACCATCTGTGATGAATGGAAGATTTTGTGTGTCTTCTACAACTAAAGAGATGGAGAAAAGCTCTAAATACTCCATACAACATGCACAGCTTATGTGCATATTGTCATCTGACCATCTAGAGGTCTTATAGCCAGATGTAGTTTTTCCGTTTTTGTAATTTTGTAATCTCTGACATCATTATTTTATGCCTCTTAGATAAGGGTCCTGGATAGAAGAAACATTTTTAGACCAGCAGGAATTCAGGGTTCATTGCTAGTCCACACCACATTGCCCATCCCAGGAAGACCCAAGGTTTCCTTCCTCTTAGTTTGTTACAAGTCCCTTTGTTCCTTCCACCTAGAAACTTTGAAGCAGGTTTTTGCCAAAAAACTTTTTCTGATTCAAGGGGGGAGAAGCCTGAGAAGGTACAGACCATCTGCTAATCCACCTTTTGGATTTGCTCTGCCTTCTGCGTGTCATCACACACAGAAGCTTGATCAGAAGACTCAGAGATGGGTGAATAAGGCAAACTAGACACATCCCAACAGTCTCTGCATTTCATTACTCAAAGTTATTGGAGCTGCTGATGTTGAAGCAGCCTAAAAGAAAAGGGGTTTTGTGCTCTTCTTCTCCAAGGACAACCAGTGCAGTGGGACAAAGAGACAAAGAATTGAGAGACCATGGTGGGAGAACGCAGCTTAGAGGAGAGCCACCGCTGGGGAGTCTCTGAGTCTTGTTCTGATCTGAAGTGACTGCCAGCACTGTCCGGTGGTGACAGGTGCCAATCAAGTGAGGTGGGGCAGTCAGAGGCAGGGAGATTGCCTTCTGATGCTGGGACACACTAGAAATCAGTCTTCCTTCCTTAGCATATGGTTCCAGGGCTCCTATCTCCACTCTGCAGGTGAAAATGGCATGATCAAAGATTCAGGTATTCAGCGAACCTGACCACCCAATCTGGTCATGTTTGATGGATTGGAGAGCACGCAAGGATATGGCAATTTACACTATCACTATTTTTCAATAGCCTGTTTATGTGAACATTGTGTGAACATTCCAATTTGTAACAACAGGTTCCAGTTTCACATGTTTTTTCTCTGGAGTCCCTGACAATTAGGAGACCAAATTGCCAACTTGCTGCATAAATAAAACATGTTCTGGGCCTTCTTGAGTTTAGTAGACTTTATGTACTTGGGTCATTCACTGGGCCACTTGTCTATTTTTATTTCTAGTTCAAGAGCTATGTAAAAATGTTGAAAGAATGCAGGCAAATCTGAATTATTAACAGCTAGCCATAGCTAGCTGTAACAGCTAGCCATAGCTTAGGGTTCCACATGCTGTGTGCAATGGGATCTTCCCCAATCACCCTCTGTTGCTTCTTTGCTGCTTTGTGCACAGAAGAACATCCCATCCCACACACCATATGTTAGAGGATGACAAGCCCTACCCCAAGCATACCAAGTCTACAAACTGACTGTGGTTGAACAAGACAAATGCTAATCCGCAAAGAAAAATCTGAGAAACCACTACTGCCTTGGTCTTGGAAGGGAGGTGATGTTGAGAAGTTTGCACACTAAACACAGACATAGAAGAATCAGATTTCCAGTGCCATTCACATACATACAGACATGTTGATGATGGCATACATCTGCTTTTGTACATGCATACCCCCAGCTGGCTTATCACTCATTAACTCCCATCTTAAGCTGTAATTAATGGTACACTAATTATAAAATCTACAATATTTAGTCCTGTTCTCTTAGTCTGAAAGCCTATAAATCGGAAATAGGGAAGGGTTCCAGGAGTTAAACCACACATCAGAAAGTTAAGTCATAACTGTCCTCCGTGGAGCTGTTTCCAGTTCACTTTATATAACTTTGGCCAACACATCAAGGCAGAATACAAGAATAATCCCCTGCTTTCTTCCAGGATTCTTAACCTGGAACTCTTCAACTTTATAGTTACTTAAACATCTCTCGTGGAAATGGCCATCCTTACAGTGTCACATTTGGGACATAGGCTTCTCTGTTACAATTCAAGAGTGTCACCTCACCTCAGATAGCTTCTCTTATTCTCTACTCTTTGGGGACACTTGCTCAGTTCCAAAGTGATTTGATCATAGGAGTGACTTTTCTGGAGCTCAATTTCTTGGGGAGATATGGTTACTTTTCCTTCAGCCATATAGACTATGGTCACTCTAATACATGGTCTATTTCATGGTGTCAAAGTAGAAGGCAGATCACCAGGGAGATACTCTTGCAACTACCTGAAGGCTCCTCTGTAAGGCATACCACGTTCAGTTTCAGTTCCCTCTTCTAAAGTGAAGAACCTAGAAGATCTCTAAATCTCTAACACTGCTGTTTGTTGGGTGGTCCTTCACAACACACCAACATATTAAGATTGCTTTGGGATTTGTTCTACAATTTGGATGTGACCAATTATCTTCCTTAGAACTATTGACAATTCAAGAAAGGAAGATTTTTCAGACCCGAAGTGCACTGACCAAGCTGTGTTAGTTTTAATGAAATGAAACCACACAGCAGAACCTTTTATTAGGTAAGAAATGTTGGGAAATTTATTACCTCCCACCTTTGTGTGGGACGCCACAGTGTAAAAGGCATACAGGAAACTTTTTCTCAAACGCTGTCTTTAGTTTCCATAGTGTTTACATATTATTGGCATCAGATATATGTAGAAACCTTTGCTTATAAAATCCATATTTGAGATCTACTCTAGGCTGATTTACTTAAACCCTATAGCTAAAATATTTAGGAATATACCTCTTAAACAAGTACATTAGTTCCAATGCTAGAGAGCCACAGTTCTAAGATTCTAAAATAAGAGGACAGGCTGCTAGTGTCCACAGTGTGGGGTCCTTCTGGGAGGAACTGATGTTAGTGTTCTGGGGAAGCAGCTGATCAGAGGTGGGAAACAGCTGGTTTCTCTTGGAAATATTGATGCCCCAGATATGCTGGCCATTTTACTCATAAAACAACTTGGGTGGCCCTGGTGGAGGTGCTGGTCCTGCCTGTTATCTCACCCTGGGTTATGCTTCCTGCTTTTTTTTTAAAGACACTATTTCTGCACATCTACAATGAAAAGCCAGTGGTGGGGTGGGGAACTATTTTCTGGCTCCTCTTCTCAGAGGAGAAAAGGTAGATA